TGTGAATCTTAGATTGTCCCCTTCTAGCTTTGCTATTCTGCCCCCCAAGAGCCATGTTTTGGTGAACGCTAATCTCTTTAATTCCCTTTTATCCGGGAGCGTTATCTTTTGTTGTTCTCTTAGGTCTCTCCGCCACCGAGCCCTTATTTCTGTTTGTATTGTGCACTTAATTCCCTCCCTTTTCTCTTCCAGGCTTGTAGTTTGGCCTTCTAACATGCTTCTGCACCTTGCTTTCCAAATCTCCCACAGAGTTTCCCTCCTCCATAACTCGGCTACTACTTCTGAGTCCTCCTCTAGACCCTCGTTCTCCAACCTTCCGGTCAGCAGGTACTGCGGATTGGACRGGAACTCCCATCCCGTTAACTTGGTCCACTTCCCCTTTATTTCCCCCCACGTGTCCCGCGCTTTTTGACAGGATATCAGGCAGTGTACCAACGATTCCTCCACGCCCTCACTACACACTTTACACTGTGCACTCAGTTGTAGAGGGTCTTCTTGTTTTCTCCTCTTGGCCAACCATTGATTGACTGGAAGGGCCCAGTAAATTATAAGCCATTGGAGACTTCTAATCTTTGCTGGGCGTATATTCATATACTGCTCCCACGAAATTTGATTTGACCAGTCCGGGCTTTCTTCCAAGTTCTTTTTCCACCTTTCTGAGATTACTGGTAGTGGGTCCGATGTTTTATTGCATAGTCTGTATCCCGTTTTAACTTCATATTCATAGATTGGTACCAATTTTCAGGCACTCCCTGCTTTGTTGGGTACCAACCATCCCCATTCCGCCGGGTCTACCTCCAAATCTTTTATGTCCACATCGGGTCTGTATAGCCTTATTTTGCCTGGATCAGAAGGTATAGCTTGGTTACCCCTCTGTCCCTTTTTAAGTGTGCAGGCCCTGACCTTTCTGTAGTGGTTTAGTTGTCCCTCTAGCCTAGGTGCCTTTAATCTACCTATTTTGGCCCACGAGCTGAGAGGTTCCTTTAGTTCATAGGAACAGAATTCTGCTTTCCCTGTTTCCGAGTCTAGGATTCTGATCAATCTGAAGGCTTCGGACGGTGCCCCCCTGCCCTTCTTGGTTGCCCAATCACCCGCCGTCCATTTGCTTTCATTCCTTAGTAACAACACCCATTTTAGGGGTATGCTTTCTAGGATTCTTTCTAACTGCTCCTTAATGTTGTGGACCCCCTTGAGCTTACGTCTTAGTTCTTGTGCTGTAACCCATCTACCTTCCTCCGAGATCCACAGGTGGTCTATCTTCCAGACTCCCTTGCTCATCCACTTCCTCCAGTGTTTACCTTTTGTGTCTAATGTCCACTGTTTGCCGTTCTGGTCCTTCAAGTGGGGGTTGCCGAACAGCGGTTGCCTCAGCACCTCTTCCCTTATTCTTGGTTTTCGTATTTTCAGCGGGAAACATTCCCTCCAGTGCTTTATAAGCGTTGCCCAGTGTTCACTCGGAGGATCTTTGCTGTCTGCAAGTCCTCTCCCTCCTTTTCTTCTAGCGTTCCAGGCCGGGTTTAATATCCAGTGGTAGCCTTCTATGGACGGGTCCACTTCAAAAGGGACTAGGTTCCGAATTTGATGCAAGGCCATTTCGTGCCAAGGGAGCTCTTTGTTGAGCAGCAGTTTGATTGTCCACTTATGTTGCAGGGCCTTAAATTGAACTGCCGGGTTAAGGAGACCTAACCCTCCTTGCAAACTTGTTCTGGTTATGTATTTCCAGGCTACTTTGTTTATATAGTGTTCCTTATTAGTTTTACCCGTCCACAGGTATGCTCCTATCTTTCTTTCCAGTGAGGAGAAGAAACCTGCTGGCGGGTTCCACAGAGAAGCTACGTACCAGCCCATCGAGAGTATTGACGTATTAATAACTAATACTCTTCCCATCATTGAGACATTTAGCGCCTGCCACCCAGCTAACTTGTTTGTCATTTTGATAAGCAGGCTGGTTCCGCACTCATTGCTGGTCCCTTCTGCTGACACCTGAATCCCCAGGAAGCGCATTGGTTGCTGTGTGTCTAACCATTGTAAGCCCTGGGTATCTTGGGTTAGCTGGGGAGGCTGTGAGGATGCTAGCCACCAACCTACTGTCTTTCTCCAATTAATCTTCATTTCTGACGCCAGTTGAAAGGCCTGCATTGCTCTTGTAAGAGCTAGGAAAGATGAGTCTGATGMTATGATGAGCACCGTCAGGTCATCAGCAAAAAGCATCACTGTTGGGATAGACAATTGTCTGCCATCTTGTTGTAAGGTTAATCTTTCTATTGACGGGTCCTTGCATAGGAGGCCTCCTTTTTTCTTAGGAGAGGCTCAATCTGCTTTTTTGGATGTACTGGTAGTTTCAAGTAAACACTCAAGAAAGCCATCTCCTCGGCCGCCTGCCTCCTCTAACCCCATATTTTCCCTCACAAAAGACCACAACAGATGTTTAAACCACCAGTACTTGGCCCATACATCGGCCGCGGGCCGTTGTCGTTAACGGCCGGCAACCTCCGGGCTTCGGGGTACCAGACCTCAATGGCTGGAAGCGCTAGCCAAAACGTAGTCCAAATGGCGCCGCACCGGTTAGGGAAAACTTGACACGCAGGGGGTCGGCCGGCTCGGCATCGATAGCTGAGCCAAGTATTGGTGGTTTAAAGATCTTTACTGCCGCTAACCTCGATCTTGACAGGCCTTCTCGTACACATGCGTGAGAGCGCACTTGCCGCGGTAATGTCGATCGAAATGGTTGGCCATGAAAGTTCTCGGCGCGCATTCCGGATTAAGACACTGCTTCTGCAGACGAGTGACCTTCCCTGTATTATCTACCTTACAGAACTGCAAGATAGGTAGCTTGACTACCTTCTTCTTGTGCTTTTTTATCGGCTTCGTGTAGATCTTCTTCTCTCTCTTGTTCGTTCCTCTGTGGAGCCTTAACACGAGACGCAGAGTCGATTCCTTTGGGACGTTGTAATCTGCAAGTGTGCGTCCATACTCGAGCTGCCTCCCGCAGAAATCACCCTTTGCTGATTGAGAGGGATAGCCTCCTTATCTTGAATCTTCTTGTTCACATTCCTGGTGGTATAAGATGACTTTCACAATGATCTGCATGGCACCTTACGCCTTGCTCCTCCATGCTCCTCAATGCTCCTCTCTCTCTGCACTTCCTGATAGTCCCGCCTGCCGCCCACTCAGAACTTTTCCTCCATCGCACACAGCCAGGGAAAGGGATGCCCTTACCTTTTAAAACTGGGCTGGCTAAGATCAATTGTAGTGTGTGTTCTGGTCAGTTTAATATTGATCAGTGGCCCATTGGGCCACAAATATTGGTATTGAATTAATTTTTTGGGGGCCACGGAGGGGTCAAACGGAAAAGCTTGCTTGCTCGACCCCACCAGCGTTGCCTTTGTATTGCACTGCTGTAGAGTGCGGCGCAGCTGCGAGGATTTTACTCCTCGGCATATCCGCATAAGGGCCCTGCAGCAAGTACGTGCCCGCCCTAAGTGAATACGGGTCTCTGAATCTCAATGAGTCCTGAATTCGTCATTTTTGCAAATCTTGTTGGGCGCCAGACAGTTGCTGCACACCAGTTGGTTACATCCGCCTTGCTCGTGAGAATCTAAAATATCTGTGAGCCTTCCAGGCTCTTTCAGCAACGTGGGGAAAGCAGGAAACACCGCACGTTTGTGCCTGGGTGGTTTGGTGTTCCTAACCAATTCGGTCCCGGGCCACTGTCTGAACGGACCTGGGCGCAGACACTTTGGCCCAACTCTGTGCTAGAGGGCACACACGCGACCCAGCCCAGCAGCCGATTTTGCGAGCAGAGCTAGCCAGGGAAGTGCATGCGGCAGCACTGCTGGAGCACTTGCTTGCTCACGCTAGCGCTGGTAGGCAAGTGTGGTCGTCGAGAAGAGGGCGCTGCTTGGGGCAGCGCAATAGCTCATCCCACCATAGCCGGCTGAGCTTGGGCATAGCCAGTGGGGGTCTGGTGGTGGTGGTCTTCGTGGTAGAGGAAGAAGACGTGGGTGAAGAAGACGAGGGTGAGCAGTGAGAGAGAGATGAGGATGATGACGTGAGGGCACGTACCTGGTCTTGGGGATGGTGTGCATGGTCGACATCTGCATGTACTTGGATTGCTGCTGCTGATGTCAACAAGTTGCTTGTCAGTTCCTTGCTAGTAGAATAGCTGTAGGATAGTAGCCTAGGCGCTGAGCGCCGGTAGGAGGAAGAGCTACGATTGCAATGTTCTTGGTGACGAGTATATGCTCTCATTGACAATTGAGTTCGATGCTTTGGTTCTCCTTCGGTGTAATATCAAAGCAATTCTGCTTTCTGGACAGCGTTCTACTATCTGGCTTTTGATGTGTTTTGCCATCTGGAATTCTGTCCTTTCGCTATTGCTCATTTTCCTTGCAGAGCCCTCAAAAAAAAAAAAAAAAAAAAAAAAAAAAAAAAGCGCTAGGTGACACCCTAGTCTTCTATGGTTGATGTTTGGTTTCATTGTTCTCATGATGTAATCCTCTATAAAAGTAGTTGATGCAATCCCATATGATGTATGAGATGCTGACGATTGATGGTCATGAGTCTTTCGGCCCATACCCACCAGCTGTTTGTTTACCCAGTCTTGTGGTGAAATGGTACACATATGCGGATGCTCTCGATGAACAGACAGACCACTGAATTAAATTGTCTACCGATCAGAGAGTTCAAATGCTGCCGATAAATAATACAATATATGGACAGCCGCCCTGCGGTCCCTGCTCCACCAAAACAACAAGGGAAAACACTTCAGTCTTTCTGTCTATCACCCAACATCGAACGACATATTCCACTTCACTCCACTCGTTCATTCATTGGCACTTTAGTCGTCCACTGTCCTTTCAATGTAAGCTCATACTCCCTTGGCGCCTGCAATGCAGGGTAGTGCCATCGATCTGCGCACGAGCGAAAATATGCGAAGTCCATTCACTCACGTACCTTGTGTCACTGTACACAGCAAATCAGCAACGATACAATGCAAAAAACTTGTATACACAAACAACTGTTCATTCGGCGTTCTGTGAAATTCAAATTTATCATCCAACTTGATCGAAGTCTACGCAAAGAATGTTAGAAGAAATGGCAGCATGTCAAACGCACCTCTCATCGACAGAACAGAATGGGGGATCGACGATAAGTTATAGCCCGTAGGAAATTTGTTGCAGTTGGCGACAAATCAAATTCAGTGTCCTATACGTCCCCCCCCCCGCCACCCCCCCATTCCCCACCGGCTAGCCGGCTGTAGTATAGGCTCACGTACTTGGAACTACTACTCTGTTGTTGTATGGATGGATTGAGGATGGACAAGAGGGCCTTTTCCATATTCAAGAGAGTCCAATGTGGTTTGCGTGTGTGCATTGCTGTTATCACGGCCTTGTTGGTTCTACTCGAGGTTGGATTGTTGTTCATTGGTCACCTCCTGTGTGCTGCTCATTGCGTTCATGTTGGTCATAAGTAGAGTTCTCACAGGCTTCTGTCTTGCATATGTGCACGCACATGCGTATCGTGTGAGCACGCGATTATCGGTGTGAGGTATTATATATATGGAGACAAGGCGCTCAGGCCTGAGTTTAGGCTGTGCATGCGTAGGCTTCAAAGTTCGAAGTCGATTAATAATTATTCACATTTTTGTGTCCAGGTACGGCCAGGAGGTCTCATAGTCGTCGACAATGTTCTGTGGTATGGAGAAGTGGCTAATTCTTTGGTGAGTGAATTTATTATGTGAAACCCGTCTGCCACTGGCCTACCCTCCCACACTCTCTCGTCTTCATTTTTTTTAAAGAAATATTGGACCTCACTCCACTTCTACGAATTAAGCAATTTTTCGAGAGTGAAGCGTCGCTCCACTTACTCTTAATCCCTCCACTCTCGGAAATCGATCGGGAGTTGTCAGAGCGGCCCTTTCAAGACCACTCTCCTTTTTGTCGAGAGTGCTCGCCCTGCAGCACTCCCGAAATTAAGAGGCCTTGCTCTTCTACTCTCGATTAGGCAATTTTTGAGAGTGGAGTGCCGCTCCACTTACTCTGGATCCCTCCACTCTCGAAAATTGATCGAGAGCTATGCAGCACACCAAACGTGTTCGGGGCTTTTGCGGACGCCCGAACACGTTCAGGTGTTCTGCCGGACGTCTCCCAAACTTGTTCGGTCAAACATTTCTTTTTTAATGATTTTTTTTTTTTTTTAAACTCGAATTTGGCTAAGAATTTGAGCATGCCTCCCAGGCAAACGTTGTTGGTGTTATTATTTTACATAACATATATTTTTTTTGCAGATTTTTCTGAGAACTTTTTTTTTTTTTTTTTTAATGTTCGCATTCGGAGGGTTTTGGGCGGCTTTTGGCGCTCGTTCACATTCAGTCGCTGGTTCGGTCACCGAACACGATCAGGATGCTACGCAGATCGAGCGTTGTTTGGCCACCGAACGCGATCAGGATGCTATACAGATCGAGAGTTGTTCGGTCACCGAATGCGATCAGGATGCTATGCAGATCGAGCGTTGTTAAAGCGGCCCCTTCGAGACTGCTCTCCTTTTCTTTAAGAGTGCTTCCCCTGCATCTCTCCCAAAATCGCAAGTCATCTCCGGGGCCCTCGACTTCCAAGCTGAAATCAAGAGCAGTAAGTTATTTTCTGAGTTTTCTCTCCTTTTTTTTTTTGGGGGGGGGGGCGGCGTTTTGTGTTCAGAAAAAGGGGAAAAATCAAGAAGAAGAACAGGAAGTATTTTGAGAGTGTGGCGAATCGAAAGTATGTGGGGAATGACACCTCCAAAATCAGCAAATTTGAGAGTCTGACAACTCTCGATGCACTCTCGACTTCGGTTGCAAATCGAGAGTAGTGGAGCGAGGCCCATCATTTCCAAAGCCTCTACCATCAGGATGGCGACGGAATCCAAGAGATCAAAAAATAAAAATAAAATTCCCGGGGATCAAGTTGTTGTCTTTGTGCATCCTCACACACCCATATGCTCACCTCGTTTCTTTTCTTTTTTCTTTTTTCCAAAAACTGAGCTATCTTCTTCGTTCAATGCAGTCTTCATCTTGACCATTTGAACAAAAAGCATATGCAAGTTTGCAGAAAATTTGTGCCCCTTTTTCCTTTCGTATTGGTTCCATTTCCCCTCTTCTGAACAAAAGAAGAACAGCTGCTGATGTCAAATTCCTTTTGTTACTTTTGTATGAATTACACTTGTTATGAGTTGTTATTAGTTAGTCATCATCATAATCTGTAGGATTTAATTAGTTTGTCATGTTGACTCTCCAACATTTGTGGTAATCCTGTGGAACAGGCTGACAGTGAGATAACAACAGCTATCAGAGAGTTCAATTCTTATGTGCTCAACGATAATCGAGTGTCCATGACAATGGTAACTCTCTCTCTCTCTCTCTCTCTCTCTCTCTCTCTCTCTCTCTCTCTCTCTCTCTCTCTCTCTCTCT